TGACTCGAGTCTATCATCGTCTCTATGGTGATCAGGTGGCCTCCTTGTTGGTGTCCCACCTGAGGGCTTCTTCTCGGCGGCAGTATGAAGTTTCCTGGCGGTCCTTCCGTTTCTTTTTGCGTCTTCGTCGTGTTAGCTCCTTGTCTGTTCGGGTGGTCTTGTCCTTCCTCTCGTGGTTGTTTCAGGACCGTCATCTTATGCCTAACACTGTCGCTTCGTATCGTGCGGCGCTGGCGGAGCCGCTTCAGCTTGCTTTTGGTATCGATGTTACGTCTACGCCGTTATTTGCGCGCCACAGCTTCTGTGTCCGGGGACGCGCTGTGGGTTGCTCCGGTTTCCCTTCTTCCCTGTTCGCGGGTTCGGGTCTCTCAGGTCGTCCGCAGGGTTATTAGGTCCAGCCAGCCTGCGGTCTATCCCCGTGCCCATGACGTTCGTAAGTTCGCGGCTCTTGCTGCCGTCTTTGGGAATATGTCTTGGTCTGATATTCGGGCGCGGGGATTTTGGCGGTCGAACAGGGTTCTGGCTGCTCGTTACCTTGTGAATGTCCCTGGGCCTCGTCGGGCCTGTGTTGCTTTGGGTCGGTGGTTGCAGCCAGTTGTCTCGGCTTCGAGTTGAGGGGTGAGCGACGACCGCCTCCCGGGTAAGTCCCTCTTTTTCTGTCTGTGGGTAGTTAGCTCCGGGGAGCCGACGGGGCTCCCCCCAGAAAACCAGCGTTGAATGTAATGAAACGCCATTTTCTGGGTGAGTCCCGGAGGCTCCCCGGCATCCCTCCCTCCCTCCGGTCGGCGGTTTTTCGCGTTTTTGACATCCAGCCTCAAGAACTGAGGTGTGGGTAGCCGGCGCGGGGGGTCTGGGGCTCCCCCTTCCCCCTCCCGGGGAGGGGGGAGCTGCGCAGACAGCGGCGCGGCAGTGTGTGACGTCACACTAGTTTGCTTGTTTTCGGTTGGGGAGTTCTATCCACTAGTTCGGTTTTAGGTAGCAATTTTAACCAGAATAGGGGTTTGTTTTGGGGCGCTTACCTTTCTGGGTGCCTGTTCCGGTCGATGGCAGACATAGAATGCTTCCAACTACACGGGGGCTTCTATAGGCCATTGCTCCCCTTGCCTCTCTGAGGGGGCCCGGTTCTGGCCGTGGTCCCCGGTAGGCCTAAGAACTCCATACACATGACTGATGCCAAAGTCTGACATTAGCATATCAGCCTGGGATAGCTCCGGGGAGCCTCCGGGACTCACCCAGAAAATGGCGTTTCATTACATTCAACGCTGGTTTTTTCTTTCAGAAGGGGCTCTGTTCCCTTCACTGTTGACGGGGCGCTGGGAGAGCAGCATACTCTGTTGACTCTCGCATGGTCCCCCAGTTAGTTGGCTCTTTTGGTTGTCTTCCGGCCCCCTGGTGGCAGCGGCGGACGGCTTCTCCCCCTTTGGGGGGTTCAGGGCCTGTGGGGTGGGCTTCTTTCCCTGCGCTTCGTCATGTCATCTTAGTGGGTGCGTTGGACATGGTCGATCCGCCCCATCCTTCTGGGGTTCCTGTCTGCTCTATGCAGACATGGGCCTGGTGAATCTGCGGTTCTTCTGGACTTGTTCAGTCTGCGCCCTGGATTCTATGCCCTCATTGGAGGATTGTTGTCTCCGGTCCAGCTTCTGTTGGGACTGGGTGCCTGGATGGTTGCTCTGGACCTCCAGGTCAATTCTTGGCACGTTCTTCTCCAGTTTTCCGGAACTAGCACAGTTGGTGGTGGGGCTTCAGGCTTACCGCTTTTGTTCCCTAGTTTGTAATTGGCACTTGGTGTATTTATGCATCTTTACCGGATCTTGGTGCCCTGTCTGAGTCTGGTTGGGATTTGGTGTCTGGCCTACCTCGACGACTAGCTGGTGTGGGCTCCCAGTCGGTCTGCTTGTCTGCTCGCCAGGCGTGTGGTTCTTTCCATATCACCGGGTTTGGTTTCCTGGTGATCTGGAGGCCGTTCTGTTTCCGTCCCGGGTTCGGACCTGGCTGGGTCTTGTTTAGGGCTCTTGGACCGCTCCTTGTCCTTCCCTCTAGAAGTGTTGCTTGGGCTGTGGTCCCGCCTTCGATTGTCGATGAGGGGTCCCGGGTTGCTCGGCGGTTGCTCGAGCAGTTGTGCGGGAGTCTGAACTTCGACGTGCTGGTCTGACCGCAGGGTCAGATTTGGCTTCAGCGTCTGTTTAGATCCTTCAGAAACTCCCCTTCCGACTCTCTTGCAATCGTTGGGTTCGTTCCACCGGGGATCTTATGTTGGTGCTGCGTCACCAGCTTCCTCTTTGGGGTTTTCGGGGTTCCGTGCCTTGGCACCTCCCCGAGCCTTCACTCGATGTGTTCACAGACGGGTCATCTCTCGGCTGGGCTTTGTGACCAGTGCTCACCAGGTCGGCCGGGGATGGTGGGGTCTGTCCGTCCATCGGGCTCACAGCACGGTTTGGGAGTTTGTGGCTGTCTGGTTTGCGCTTCGGAGGGTTCGGGTCACTCGGTGCTCTACCATTCAGCTCCATTCGGATTGTTCTCTGGCTGTTCTTTGCCGGAACCACAGGGTTTCTCTTAGGTGTTTGCCTTTGGGGTTAGTCCCTTCGAGTGGCTCGTTTTCTGGTTTCTCGGGGTTTGGCTAACCGTGAGGTTCGTGTCCGGGGTGTGTCCTATGTCCTGGCGGACAGCCTGTCTCGGTTCATTCCTCTGTTAGCGGATTGGCCAGTCATAGCCGACTCGTTTAGTTGGCTCTGCCGGACGTATGGACTCCTGGCCATGGATGTCTTCAAGTCGGCGTGGTCTAGGTGCCACCCATTCTATGTGGCGCCCTTATCCACCTGCGAGGCTTTCACGGTGGATGCCTTTAGGCAGGACTGGTCAAGGTGGGGATACCTGTTCCTCTTCTCCCGGTCCAGCTGTTGCTTCGGGTTCTGGCTCGGTTGGATCCCATTCCCTAGAGAGTAGTCCTCATGGTCCCTTGGTGGCCAGCCCAGCTTTATTTTCAGACGATGCTTGATGGGTGTCCGAACCCGGGGCGTTTTGCAGCGGCTCCACCTCTTTTGGCAGGTCGGACCGGACCGGTGACTGGTTCAGCCTTCTCCTTGGCTCTTCGCGTCTGGTATTTTGATGCGGGTATCACCATCTCTGTGGTGATCAGCTGGCTTTGTTGATGGTGTCCCACCTGCGAGCTTCGTCTCGGCAACAGTATGATGTTCCTGGTGTTTCTATGCATTTTTTCTTGCTCATCATAGGTCGTCTTCTCTTTCGCACTGGGTTGTCTTGTCCTTTCTTGGGTTTTCAGGACTACAATTATTTGATGTTTCTTTCTGTTGCCTCGTTTTGTGCGGCACTGGGTCGGTTGAGTGGGTATCACCATCTCTGTGGTGATCAGGTGGCTTTGTTGATGGTGTCCCACCTGCGAGCTTCGTCTCGGCGACAATTTGATGTTCCTGGTGTTTCTATGCACCATTTTCTTGCTCTTCGTAGGTCGTCTTCTCTTTCACACTGGGTTGTCTTGTCCTTTCTTGGGTTTTCAGGACTACAATTATTTGATGTTTCTTACTGTTGCCTCGTTTTGTGCGGTGCTGGCGGAGCCGCTCCGGCTTACATTCGGGGTGGACGTCACATCTGCCCCGTTCCATATGCTTTCTCGTGTTTTGTTTCACCTTCGGCCTGCTCATGCGTCGGCTGAGCCATCCTAATCCTTGATCAGGGCGCCCTTTTATCTTCTCAGTTTGTGGTAGCCTCTTCGGTTCAGGTTTCTGCTCTTTGTTACTGGTGGTAGGTTTGTACATTTGCAGCCTTTCTCCGTCCTTCTAGCGACGGTCGAGACGGCTGCTTACCAGGGAAGTCCTTGGGTTATTGATGCTTGATTGGTTCGGCCGGGGGTGCGTCCTGTGTTGTCCGGTTGCGCTTTTTTGCCGTTACCTGCGTACAGTGTCTGGGGATGCGCTTTTGGTTGATCCGGTTCCCTCGTTCCCTGTTTCAGGGCTCGGGTCTCCCAGGTCGTCCGCAGAGTTTTTAGGTCTTCAAGCCTGCTGTCTATCATTGCGCCCGTACTGTTCGAACGTTTGCAGCTTTTGCTGCTCTGTTGGTGACGTCTAGGGTTCATTTCGGGCGCAAAGATTTAAGGGTCGCACAGGTTCCTGGCCGCCCGTTCTTTATGCGCGCATCTGCTCCTGTGCGATTCTTGTAGCCTTGGGTTGCAGGTTGCAGCCTGTTGTCTCGGCTTCGCGTTGTGGAGTTTGTGGCAGTCGCCTCCCTGTTCGGCCCTTTCTTTTCCTTCTCTTCGGGTATGAAGCTCCATGGAGCCATAGGGGCTCCCCACAGAAAACCAGCATTGAATGTAATGAAATGCCATTTTCTGGGTGAGCCCCGGAGGCTCCCTGGCAACCCTCCCTCCCACCGGTCGGCATTTTTTTCGCGTTGGTTGAAGCTTAGCTTCCGAACTGATGATAGGCAGCCGGCGCGGTGAGGTCAAGGGCTCTCCCCTCCCCCTCTCGGGGCGGGGAGGGCTGCGCGGACGACCAGTGCGGCAATAAAGTGTGATGTTTGCTTGTTTCCTTGGGATTGTAGGGCGTTTCTACCTGTGTTCGGTTTTTTGTTTTAGTTTTTTACCATGTGGGGTTTGTTTTGTTATGCCTACCTTTCTTGGTGCCTAACCCCGGTCGATAGCAGATAAGGAAAACCCCAACCACAAGAGGGTTTTCCAGGGCCATTGCTCCCTGAAACCTCTCTGAAGGGGCCAGGTACTGGCACTGGTCCTTGGTAGGTCTGAACTCCTTAGCTAATGTCCCGGTCTAATATAACATACCCGATAAGCTTCAGGGAGCCTCCGGGGCTCACCCAGAAAATGGCGTTTCATTACATTCAACACTGGTTTTTTACAATCTGGCAAATATTTTGTTTCATCTGTGGGAATTATTAGACATCCAGTTTTTTTATTTGTTTTTTTTACTTTTTCTCTGGAAACCACAAAACTAATTAACTTATAATAATGGTAATAAATTTTTTTATTTCAGATCTGTGTATACCAAACGAATAATTGATATCAGCGCCAAAGTTCGTAAACAAAAACAAGAGATTGATCGCGTGCTGGCAGACACTAGAACTATACAAAAGGAGATAAACATGTTATCTGGCAAACTAGAGAGGACTTTCACAGTTGTCGAGGGAACTGCTTACAAGGTAAAATTGCTTGTATCTTTTAAAAAAAAGTTAAATTAAAACTCAAAATTAAAGTTTTAAAAATTTACAATTACGCCTTTCAAGCTAACCCTTGGAGGGCGTAAATCATATACTGTATATATATATTTACAGTTACAGTGGCACCTTGACTTATGACTGCCCCTATTTACGAATTTTTCGAGTTACGACCCCCAATTTCGTCGAAAAACGTGACTCAACTTACAACCTTTGCCTCGACTAGCGACTTTGTTGATACACATATGATTCGCCGAGCGTGTGGTTCTTGGTGGCACAAGCCGACCTGTCTCAGTTTACCAGAGCCGCCCACTTAGTGAAGATCGCGCTTGGCTGGCGCAGTTTTTGGCGAGTGAGTCTTTTTGGCTAGCACAGCACAGTGGTTAAATCCATTCAAGCAAAATCACTACAAATTTTTAACAAACTGACGAGTGAAGGGGCAGTTGGCGGGCTGCTAGTAGTTGGGAAAGGGGGTTGTGGTTGGCTGCTGGTGGTCGGGTGTGGGGAGGGGGGGTGTTGTAGCAGGTTGGCAGTAGGGGTGGCGGCCAGACTGGCAGGCCTCGGGCCAAACCAAGCTTCAGACTAGGCCTCAGGGTAGACCTCAGACCAAGCCAAATCAGGCATCAGGCCAGACCAGACCAGGTTTCAGGTCAGGAATCAGACCAGGCCTCATGCCAGACCAAACCAGACCTCAGGCCAGGCCAAGCCAGGCCAAACTAGGCCTCAGGCCAGTCCAAGCCAAGCCAGGTCTCAGTCCAGGCCAAGCCAAGCCAGGCTTCAGGCTAGGACTTAGGCCAGACCAGGCCAGGCATACACTGCTAGTTTGAACCATCCCTGGCGCCTCAGAGCAGGTTTTCATTATTATGCAATAAATTGTTTCATATCAACAATTATATACAAATAAAGCCAGCAAATAATAAAATAAAAAAGTTTATTAATATGAATAAGGAATACACAAAGTAATGTACATACAAGTACAGTATTAATGAGTACAGATGTTGAGTGGGTAGAGGCAAACTGCCTCGCCACCTCCCCTAATACAATCCCCTCACCACTGACACCACCATTTAATATGAATACTTCTTTTGACTACAGAATATGATAGAGCAACGTGTTATAAACAACTGAAATGGTACCATTTTCTCAGCTAATTTGGTGAAAAGCAGACAGTGAATGAAGCATTGAGGCAGCAGTGGTGCCAGCCACGTGTTGCCAGTCAGCTGATCACTTAGGCTAGAGCAACCTTGTGCCAGACTCCCCAGAGTCCAGCTCTTTACTCCCCAGACACCACCTGCCTCTTGACAAATTCCACCACTTACACCACCTGCCTCTCCCGACAACTATTGCCACCACTGACACCACCTGCATCCCCTGACAACTTCCACTACTGACACCAGTCTTCCTCTCTGACAACAACTTCCACCTCTGACATCACCTGCCTCCCCTGACACTACCAGCCTTCAGTGACGTTCACTACTAACACCACCTGGCTACTCTGACAACAACTTCTACCATTAACACTACCTGCCATCCCTGACACCATTAACACTACCTGCCTTCCCTGACACCATTAACATTACCTGCCATCTCTGACACCATTAACACTACCTGCCTCCCCTGACACCATTAACACTACCTGCCTCCCCTGACACCATTAGCACTACCTGCCATCCCTGACACCATTAACACTACCTGCCTCCCCTGACAGCTTCCATCACTGACATCACCTCCCTCCCTTGACAACTTCTATCATTGACACCACCTACCTTCCCTGACACCATTATCCCTTAACATGCTCGGGGTATAATATCCTTTCTTCCCCACAGGCGCATGTAATTTAGAAAAAAAAAAAAAAATTTCTTCCTAACCTGTTAATTTGTGTTCACTGATCACGGGAAAAATAATAAAAAAATCGTAAGTGGCATATATTGCCCGCTATAGGGCGGGGAAGTCTGGCAAATTATAGGCGCTGACTCAGCGTGCGTCCCAGGCGGTCTGTTGCTCGCCAGCTGTCAGGCCAGAGTTGCCACAAAGAGATAATTACCTAATTATTTCAATGTCTCTGATTTTTCATAGTTTTTTTGCTGTAATATTATTCAATCGTGTGTAGTTTGATATATAATAAAATGAGTGAATCATTGCTGTACTCAAAAATATGGTGTGCATATTGTTGATTCAATTATGTTCATCAATCAGTGAACAAATACTTTGTCGGTTATTACACTATAAGCACAGGTTATATATAAGTATCTGCATGTCTTGTTCACTATAACGAACCACTAAGTAGCTATTATGAGTAAAAAAGTAATGAGGAGTGACTGCCGTGTACCAGCCAGCCACTCCCGCCCTCCCTCAAGTCATCTGATTCACCCACATTCTCCTCTCACAATACTGTTTTTGCTATAATTCACTATATACAGATGTAATATATATAAGTATCTACATGTTTTGTTCACCATAACTGTACATCTAAGCTTGTATGGTGAGTAAAGGCACCAAGACGTAGGACCTCACACAGTTAGCTGATGGCTGCCGCCCTCAAGGCCAGACGCACTAATATTTCTCCTCCAACAGTACTGTGTGGTGTTATTACGCTATATATCTTATATACAGACGTTATATATAAGTATTTACATGTTTTGTTCACCATAACTGTACATCTAAGCTTGTATGGTGAGTAAAGGCACAAAGACGTAGGACCTCACACAGTCAGCTGATGGCTGCCGCCCTCAAGGCCAGACGCACTAATATTTCTCTTCCAACAATACTGTGTGGTGTTATTACGCTATATACACACATTATATATAAATATCTACCTGTTTTATTCACCATACTTGTACAAATAAACTGGTATGGGGCCCAAAGACCATCGTGGTAACCAGTAAACAACACCGTTGTCTGCACGGTGGCGTCGTCTGCACGATGCCACCGCCCTCACCAAAATGGCAGCTCCAAACCTTCTCTTGCTGTTTATACCCTCTATACACATTTTATATATAAGTATCTACATTTGTGTTCACCATAGCGAACCACTAAGCTGGTATGGTGAGTGCAGTCAATAAAAGGTGGCCACACACAGTCAGAAGACATCGCCACCACCCTCCCTCCCACAGCATTACTCCTCCCTCCATGGCGCACAGCGCTAAATATCACCACATTCCTGCTATTATCAGAACCCTGGTCAGTTTTATCACAGTCAGGGGTCTTCTGTAATAATATCATAGCTACATAATAGCATGAACAAGTATATTTTAGCATTTTTAGGCGATGCTGTAGTCACAAGCTGAACAGCAGTGCTGTTAGCTCATGCTGCGTGCATCAGGCTTGGTGGCTCTCTCAATACCGAGGCCCTCACACCCGGGAATTTGGCTCACGATTTTTTTTTTAAATGGCGTCTATTTACAAAAGCCCTGATGAAGGTGAGGTGAACCCCGTTTATCCGCGGGCCATTTAAATCTTGCGTAGTACTCCAATACATCATATGATGGGATGTGCATTTTATAGCAAGTAGCTCAACCCATCATATGATGTGTTGCGCAACTTAGGGTTAATATTTTTGTAGTAGGCGTTCCTTTGACTCTACGTAAGCACTGCATATTCTTATCATCATGAATACACAGTGATATTTCATCTATTTTGGTCACATCTTCTTGAAAAGGGCATGAAGTACTGCAAGATGGTTTTGTATGTTAATTTAATTACTATTTAACACTTTTGTATTAAATTAAGGCTATTAATTCAAAATATTGCAGTGGCTATAGGTCCAAAACCAAAATATTTGATGATTTTGGAATAAAGGAGGAAAAAAAACTGATGGGAAAAGTTATATTTTACATATAATATATGGTATTCGCACATTTCCAGGAGGCTGCTAACAATGAACGAGTGCGGCAGGTTTACCGAGCTGTGGCAGCTGTGCATGAAGGCTGTGGAGAATTGGTGGATATTGTACGTGATACTGGAACTATCCAAAGAGAAATAGCTGATTTAAGAGAACAGGTAAGTGTAAAAAGATCAATGGTATGCATGCTAAATGGCAATATAGTTCAAGAATTTACAACATACTCTTGCTGTGTAAGGACAGTGTTGGATATGCATAGGGCAACTAGCAAGGGTTGTTTCTGGAAACCCATGTAAGGCTTGACTTGCAAATTAAATGTGAAGGTAAAGTGCTCTCTATGGGGGAAAAAAGTATTATATTCCAGAGATTTCCAAATGTTCACTTTCTGAGTATTCCACTTAGATATTTCCAAATGTTAGATCACTGAAACCATTGAACATGGTAACATTTTATAAAGGCACAATAGTAATCTTTTTAAACATCTGTCAGGCCATATTTGTGCTAGGGGCTGGACATTAGTAAAGAGTTAAATCTAGTCCAGTGTGACAACAGGAAGTTCACTCATAAAGATTAAAATCCTTTTTAAGTCCTTCTTGGTATATTAAGTAATGCTCTCAAATAACCAGCATTGAATGTAATGAAACGCCATTTTCTGGGCAAGTCCCAGAGGCTCCCTGGAGCTATACAGGCTGATATGTAATTATTAGCTTTCTGGCATCAGTCAAAGTGCATGGAGTGCTTGCCTACAGAGGACCACGCGCCAGAACCTGGCCCCCTTCAGAGAGGCATGAGGAGCAATGACCTATAGAAACCCCCGTGTGGTTGGGAGCATTCTTTGTCTGCCATTGATCGGGTCTGGCACCCAGAAAGGTAGGCGCCCCAAAACAAACCCCTATTCTGGTGAAAACGTTGCTACCAAAAGCCGAACGAGTGGGCAGAACTTCCCAAACGAAAATTAGCGAACGAGCATAATGTCGTCATGTTGCTGCGCCACTGTCTGCACAACCCCCCCCCCCCCATCCTCCCCGGGAGGGGGAAGGGGAGCCCCAGACCCTCGCGCCAGTGATCCAACCATCAGTTCTTAGGCTGGATGTCAAAAACACGTGAAAAACCCTGCCGACCAGAAAGAGGGAGGAATGCTAGGGAGTCTCCAGGACTCGCCCAGAAAATGGGATTTCATTACATTCAATGCTGGTTTTTTGGGGAGAGCCCCATCGGCTCCCTGGAGCTAACTACCCAAAGACAAGGAAAAACAGGGATTTACCCAGGAGGTGGTCAGTCCTCACTCCTCAACGCGAAGTCGAGACAACTGGCTGCAACCACCGACCCAATGCAATGCAGGCCCTACCAGGTCCAGGGACATTGACAAGGTAGCGACCAGGATCCTGTTCGACCTCCAAAAACCCTGTGCCTTAATGTCAACCCAAGACCTGTTGCTATAGACGGCAGCCAAAGCGACAAACTTATGAACTTCGTGGGCACGAGGATAGACTGCAGGCTAGCTAGACTTAATAACTCTGCGGACGATTTGGGAGACTCGAGCCTGGAAACAGGGAAGGAGGGAAACCGGGTCAACCCAAAGCGCATTCCTGGCCACCAAAGCCGTTGCGTGCAAAAACGGCAGAGAGCCGCAACCGAACATAAAACATGATGCACCCTCAGCCTGACTAACCAAACATCAACAGCCCAAGGACCCCTCCGGAAAGCAGCCTCATTCTCATTCTTCACCAGAAGAGAAGGAGACGGCTGCAACCGAACAAATGTACCACCAGGACCGAAAGAGCAGAAACCCCTGCGCCGGAGGAGAGGCGCAGGGGTTTCTGTAAGAAACAGGTGAACCAAGGGAAAGAGGTACAGGTAACCCCCGCCATCACCCTCGACCCCAATGGCCTCGCAATCGGGGAAGGGCGCCACGTATACAGGGAGACGCCTTGACCAAACCGACATGAAGAGATCCTCTTCCGGAGGCCCGAACGTCCAGCAGAGCCAACTGAATGAGTTGGCATCGACCGTCCATTCTGTGGATAGGGGAACGAACTGGGACAGGCTGTTCGCCAGGACATTAGACACCCCCAAACGTGAACCGCCAGGAGAGCCAAACCCAGAGAACTCTACAGACGAGTCACCCGAAGCGACCAGCCTCAAAGCGCCAAGAAACGCATCGAACCGCCACAGATCAGGCAATGAACCACTGGGGAACAGTCCGAATGGAGCCGGATCATCGATCCGCAAGCAACCCGAATCCTCCGGAGCAACATCCACACAGCCGCGAACTCTCGCACCGTGTTGTGAGTCCGATGGAAGGAATCCCTGGCCAGCCTGGTGAGCACTGGTCACCAGGCCAGCCGGTTCACCATGGCAAACTGGCTGGGACCCCACACCAGCCAGTCATCGAGATAGGCCAGAACCCGAACATCTAACAGACGCAGGCGGGCCACCACGACCCGAGTAAAGTGTATGAAAACAGGAGGCGCCAGATTCAAACCAAAAGGAAGGCAACGAAAGCGGTAACCTTGTCACCCCACAACAAAAATGAGCCAGTCCCTGAACCCCAGATGAATCGGGACATGCCAATACACGTCCTTGAGGTCCAGGGACTTATCCAAGTGCCTGGCTCCAACAGAGATGGACCTGGGACAGAGTAGTCATCCGAAAGGAGGGGCAATAAATCCACGGGTTCAGACAGGACAAATCCAGATTGAACCGTAGGTCCGCACAGTTCCATTTTGGGACTGGAAATAAGTGGGAAACCCACCTAAGAGATGAAGTTGTTTCAACCACGCCCAAGCAAACCCACTTCAAGATGACTCAACAAAGCGCAGGAAAAGAGGCTTGCCCCACCAGTCCCAAACCCCCCGAAGGAGGAGGAGCTACCCAACGCCACCACAGGCTGCGCGAAGTGACACAAAAGGCCCACAAATCGAGGGACCAGGCACGAGCAAACAGAACAAGCCTCCCCCCCATCACCCCTGTCAATGGGACAAACTGTGAAAGGGCCGACGCACCTTACGAGAACCGTAGTGGTGCACAGTGTGATCCTTACGCTGACCAGAAACAGACGGTACCAAAGGCTGTGCCCGCCCCGAATCTGGCACCACTGGCTTGCCACGATGGGAAGAACCCCGAGCCCTGGCACGACCCTTCCGGAAAGGCCCCCACGAACCCCCCGGAGGACTAACAAGTCTGACATAGGGATGGGAACTAACCGAAGCTGCCTGCAGATACTGCACAACCACAGACTGCAAACAGTAACGGACAAAAAGGCGAAGACAACCTAAGAGCCAGGGGCCCAAGCGGATTCCAAGGAAGAAGCGAGCACTGCCTGCCGACACACGATTCAAGAAGCAAAAAATTGTAAAACAGCTTCCCACAGGAGTGGTGTGAACAGCTTCGCGAACAGCAATGCAGACAATCCACGCACCACCGAGGGCAATGCACCAAACCCAGAGGTGGCCCCAAGCTCCTCCACATCCAACTGAAGCCAATCTGAGGATAGCTCAAGGCAGGGGAGGGGCTCCCTGCATTTCTTATGCAGGGAGCCCTGCATAAGAAATGCAGGGAGCCCTGCATAAGAAATGCAGGGCTGAAGTCAGGAAGCCACGTGTATACAAATCCTCCACGACCAATGCAGCCGAAAGGGAAGGAACCTGCACATGAAGCTGCATCACACCAACATCTCGCGGAAGGGCAGAGGTGAACAAACATGCATTGAGATGCTCAAATTCGTCCTCAAGGAAAATCTGTGATGTCATCTGAGCCTCCCTCCACTCCAGCGCATGGGACCGACAGAACGTATGTCAAGTTTCCAATGAGAATAGTGGGCAGTCTGCTAGCCAGGACGACTCCGGAACTTCATAACGAACCCAGTACAGACACAAAAATCCATACACAAAGGAACGCGGATTCATCACGAAAGCATAATCCGAGTCGTGCAGGAAGGATTATGTGTGCACATGTGTTGCAGGAAGCCGCAAGGGCTTCCTGCAGCACATGTGACGGGACGCGGGAAGACGAAAACTTCCGGAAGGATGGGAATGAGGAACCCACAGGATCACGGAACCGAACCCGGGGAGGGGTAGATGCCAAATCCAATTCGTACGCAGAGGGAGCAAAAGAGAACTCCTCTCCTTGTAACACCAAGCCTCACTCCAAGGGTACAAAAACCCAGGCGGGGTCCAACGGAGCCCAAGGCCCCCAAATCAACCCTTCCCCTGCCCAGGGAACCTCACCCCGAGGACCCGGGACCAAGCTGCCCTACACCCCCCACTAGTTTCTCTATCAGCTATCTCACCCTGTCAGAGTAAGAGACAAATGTATGTGAATGCATGTGCGTGTATATATGTATGTACAGTATATGTGTGTGCATGTATATGTATGTGTATAAAGTATATATGGAAGCTGATCAGAATTATATTTCACCTTTGTAAATGCACATTAATGACACTATGTAAAAGACACATCGAACACTTTATGTAGGGCATACGTAAATCTGTGTATCTATGTATTTACGTATGTAGGTTAGCTTAGCATTTTAAAAGCACCGAATCACCTTCTGTGGTTGATTGTTCAATAAACCCCTGAACTATATGTTTAACAAATCTCTAACCCTGTCCATGGAGGACAGAAGAAAATGTATATATGCTGGTTAGCATTGTAAATGTGTGGCCACATCTGTGGTAGAAAATATTAAAAAAAAAAACTCCCACTAGTCAGGAGGGATGAAGGAGGCCCACTGGTCAGACCCCGAACCTCCAGCTGTAGGATGAGGCTCAAATGCCTCCGTTGCCACCCCGGAAGGGACTTCCCTGAGACTGGCCGAGTCTCAACACCAACTAAACCCTGCCTCGACTCCAAAACCCTCAGACGTTTCGGAGCCGGAAGCAAGGGGAGGTTCACCGGATGACCAACCGAAGGGGAAAGGACAAGGAGGGGAGGATGGAACCAAAGTGAAAGCGACTCCCACCCTCAAGTCCGGGTCCCTATAAACAAAACGGGGCAGTCTTGGGGCATCCGGGGAAGCAACGAACCTATCGCATTGCAGCAACCTAAACCCAGCATACAATGCCTCTGCTGCCTGCACCCTCATATAAATGTTCAGTAGCATGAGTGAACTGGAGCACACACAAGTAACAAACGTTGAATGACTCTGGGTCAAAAGAATCACAGACCCGACAGGCATTGATGTCGGAGACACAACTGGTGATTGTCATCCTGAGACAAGGATATAGAGCAACCATCAACCTTGCAAGAAGTGAGAGGGGACACAAGGGTTGCATCCATTGGACCACGGAGCCCCCGCGGAGTTTCCCAGGGCCCTTAACCTTGGTAACACGCTAAGGAAAGCCCAGGCAGGGTATTGCGAACCAGCGCCTAAAACTACCACGAAGACTTCTTAAAGCTGAACCCCGGGACATGTCCATTCACGGGGGCCTAGCAGGGGGTATCAGCAAGAAGACAGTTATGGATATATAAACCCTAAATGTAGATAGGGGGCAATCAACCAAAGGCATGCCCCTTCCCCACCATTCAGTAAACAAAAACAAAAGAAAACCATGTACGAGGGCAACATACTCAGGCGGAACAGAGCTGGCCACTATAATAGGTGAAAACTAGCTGTGCAGTACCCCTAGCATTATATATGTAAGTGACAAAAACTACCCCCTACCCAGAGGCAAACAAAAACCCCAGCTGACTCCAAGGGTGTCCAATTACCACGCAGCAAAAGATACAGCGTAAGTAGATCCCAAGGTGACTTGTGGAAGGTGGCCTCAAGCCCCAAGGGCAGTACTTACTGGGCACCTAGGGAAGGAAATCCTAGGCGCATGCAGCCCGAATACTGTTGAATATTACTCCTGGCTCACACACCACCTGTAGAGACAGACCACACCACAAGGCACAGAAATTGAGACCAAAGCATGAGCCAGAGGCACGTGACCTGCCAGCATTCTAAATGTGTGGCCACGTCTGTGGTAGAAAATAATAATAAAAAAAAAAGTATTACATCAGCTAAGAACTAATGGTTGGATCGCCAGTCTGGGGTTTCCCCTTCCCCCCTCCTGAGAGGAGAGGGGGGGAAGGTTGTGCAGACAGCAGCGTGGCAACATGATGATGTCATGCTCGTTTCCAAATTTTCGTTTGGGGAGTTCTGTCTACTCGTTCGACTTTTGGTAGCAATATTTTCACCAGAATAGGGGTCCATTTTGGAGCGCCTACCTTTCTGGGTGCCAGACCCAATCGATGGCAGACATAGAATGTTCCCAACCACACGGGGGTTTCAATAGGGAAGTCATTAATGTTTCAATAGGGAAGTCATCAATAGTCATTAATGTGCATTTACAAAGTTGAAATGTAATTCTGATCAGCTTCCATATATACTTTATACACATACATATACATACACACACACACACATATACATACATATATACACACACATGTAAGAGGAGACATGATAACCACCTACAAAATTCTCAGGGGAATTGAGAGGGTGGACAAAGACAAACTCTTCAGCACGGGTGGGACATGAACAAGGGGACACAGGTGGAAACTTAGTACCCAGATGAGCCACAGAGACGTTAGAAAGAATTTTTTCAGTGTCAGAGTAGTTAATAAATGGAATGCATTAGGAAGTGATGTGGTGGAGGCTGACTCCATACACAGTTTCAAATGTAGATATGATAGAGCCCAGTAGGCTCAGGAATCTATACACCAGTTGATTGACAGTTGAGAGGCGGGACCAAAGAGCCAAAGCTCAACCCCCGCAAGCACAATTAGATGAGTACAATTAGGTGAGTACACATGCATTCACATGCATTCACATACATTCTATGCCTTGACTTGTGGTGCCTAGGCATTTTGTGTGGTGTCAGTGCCTTGGTATTATTATGGTGGGTGGTATTATTAATGCCCTTCCTTAAGCAATATGCTTATGACCTTTGCAGCCACATTTATCTGCATTTGACATCAGTTCTTGTAGCAAGTCTTCAGTACCCGGGTTTCTTGCTTGGTCCCTACCTTCAGACCTTGGAAAATCCTGAAGGTTTTTGGTGTGGTTATCTATAGATTGGCTCACTGAATTCACTCACTACTTGTAAAGTCAAGGGATGCCCATTGTCATTGCACCATGATACTGGGCATTTGTACTGTCTTCCTCTGCTATCTGTTGGGTGGGTACAGCCAAACAGATTAGGTAGTACTAGATTGAGAGCTTGCACTTGAGAGACTTGTCTTCCCTCCTTGTCCATTGCTTGGGACACCACCACTACTGTGATATTTGGCACATAGATGATGCCTCTCTTTCTGGGCCCTGCTCTCCTGCTGTCTTATGTGGATAAGTCCTTTCAGCCATTTCTGTTGCTCCTATTTTGATATTCCTTTTTAGGTAAGTTATTCTCTTCTGCCAAAGCACTGTCAGGAGTAAGCTTCAGCGAGCTACTGAAGGGGCCACTCAGAAAGGAAGCGTTGAGTGTAATGAAATGCACTTTCGTTTTGGCTTAAGAGTTAAAGGCCCTGGGTGACTTGGACTGCCATCTACTGGTGGTTGGGCACATCAAGGTTAGTGTTATTCACATTCGAAAAAGATCATTTACCTTGTTTGACTCAGATTATGTTATTTTCTTGAGGCACTAACATATTTGTTTTTCTTAACGTTTCTGGAGAGTTTTTCTTGGTTTGGATATATTTCTGATTGCCAACGTCACATCACAGAGAGAGCCAGATTCAGGCCCTGGCTCCCAATCGGTAAGTGTGGGATTATGGGAATTACATCAGGAAATCTGATGTAATTCATTAGAGGCCAGGACCTAGTGGGTAGCTCACCAGTAAATAGTGCTTCATTACATTTAAACACTTGATTTTTTCAGGTTGATCTTGAGAAGAGCAAAAAGGTGGAGGAGAATTTAGAACAGCTGAAGATTGATCTAAATCAAGTGAAGAAAGAGAATGCCATCTTAAAACAGCAATTGTTGTAATTACCTAAGTGTAGGAAAGCACTTGTGTCTTTTATTTAAATTGTACAAATGTTACTAGACAGCAGTACACTGAAATTTTTGTTCTTTATATTTGTAAAATTTAATAATTCAGAATTGTTAAATGTATTGTAAATTATATGGGCATAAGATTACTTTTATTTATAAAAGTAATTTTAGTTTATGATGAGTTTATTTAATTTTAGTTTATGATTATTAATGAGTTTATGATGTCTTTGTGGTACATTAAGTTACTAAATGTAATGTTTTAGACTGATATAAAAGTGATACAGAAATCCTTGATAATTTGGGCATCCAAATTCCTTCAGTAACACCTACAATTTTAAACTTTGTAAACAAGAAAATCATAAAATATGGATGCTATGCAGTGAAGGTTTGTGAAGTATGATATGGACAGTATGCAGTTTGTTAATAATAATTCTCTGTGCAGTAACGTGTTATAAATAAATATTAAATGATTTTAAATATTTAAATGAATCATTTAAATATTAAATGTTAAATGATTATACAGTATATAGAATAATAGTATTTAGTGTTACTGAACAGTACTAAGAAAAAGTTTGATAACAGAATGACTAATGATAATTTACTTGAATTTACCTGAGGGCCACTATCTCTCTAGTGGCCTCGACTGGGACAGGGAGCTGGAAGCTTGCCAAAGGTCCTGCAATTGCTCCTGAGGATTTTTTTTTGGGGGGGGGGGTGCCCCTTGGTGGGTCCCTGAAGCCATGTTGCTGAGATAGCTCCCCATTGCTAAGTTACATTAGTCATAGGCATGCTGATGGCCTACTAGTTATCAGAGATAGACCTTGGCCCCACAAAGAAGCATAGGAAGCAAGGGATTGTTACAATCAATATACAGACAATGAGTCACAATAACGAGGCTGAAGATATGATGACCAAACCACACACCAGAAGATGGAGACAAGGATATTTTGGTTCATCTTGGACCATTATGAAGTGAATTGTTATTGTTTTATACTCGGTATAATTCAATCAACTTTATAATGGTCCGGGACGGACCAAAACGTTGTCGTCTCTTCATCTTCTGGTGTATGGTTTGGTCATCATTGTTACAATTACCCTCACTACAAAAGCAACCAGAAAATAAATGCAGACAATGCAGACAACTTCATGGTTTATGAAAATGAAGCACCAATAGGCAATGCAAAAAATTCACTCGCAAGGAAATGGTTCACTTGAAACTGTATGAAACATCCCTTAGTGCACCATGGTGCCAACAGGTGGCATTCTGGAGCTCCCAGGTTTAAAACCAGTGGTTGCTCTGTCCTGTTGCTGATGTTATACATTCCACGTCTGACCTTCCCTAGTCACCACATTATAGCAAGTCCCACTTCTTCAAGATGGATGCCAGCCATCCTTTGGTCTCTGTCCTGTGGGGGCCATTGTTAGTGTATCATTCCTAGTTTTTGGTGCTTGTTTTCAAGGCACACTCCTTGAATGGATTTAGCATAATCTGCTCTTCAAGCTGCATGTGTGTAGGGAAATGCTTGTTTAGCATTTCCCCAGTACTGTCAAGAGTGCTCTTTCTGGCATGTTTTGGAATTTATTCCTGAAAGGCCAAGCCACTGGGATGGAGAGTCTCACCTAGACAATCATTACCTAGACAAGACTGGTAATATTATTTAATAATAATTACAATAATTCATTGTGTCGGGAGACAGGCAGCCAGAGTGTATTCAAACATTTTAAGCTTATATTGAGGGGACCCCCAAGGTTGAATTACTGACCCTGCCCCGGATGCAACCCCACAACAAGCTGATTAACTCCTGAGTACTGCTTACTTACTGTTAGATGAACAGGACATTAGGTGATAGGAAGTGCATACAACCATTTTTGTCCCTCCCGGGATTCAAACCCGGAATTCTCGATTGTATATCAAGAACAAACCCAACTGCACTACTGGGACCCTTAATATTTTAGTAAGGATAATATAGTACAGTAATTTACTACACTACTAGTCTATTACTACTATTATATTACTAGGATCTTGGTCGTAATCTCTTAGCCAGAAATGACAACCGCCCCAGATTGCAATAGCCAACGAACTAGGGGTTGAGTGGCCGGTGCGGTGGATCCGGTGGCTCCCTCTACTACCCCCTCCCCCTCAGCGGGGAATGTAGAAGAGCTCCCAGAACCTCATCTAGATACAATCCAGGTACCCTGAAACTTGAAGTGCAGATGTACAGGTTCTGCACAAAGATTGTAGTAGAAATCATTGAGTTGTGAGGGAGGTCAAGACCTTATAAGAGTTCTTCAGACCTTGTAGTGTTACGAGAACCAACCTTGATAACCTAGATGAGGTTATGTCAACATTTTCTCTGATAAGTTGCAAGTTAAAGCTGCAGCAGGGAGGTCTAATAAAGAAATGCCTTCAGACGCCCAGCTGAACAAAACACATCGTGCAGAGGACGTGTGTGGAAAAGGCTGCTCTTCAGTTTACTTTGAGTGTACCACATTTCTTTTGAAAAATCCCAGTTCAGAAGGTCTTATATTGCTGAGATTAGAAATGCAGTGAAATTGGTGCATGCAGGAGCAACACTAACGTTGATTACCCAGTGATTCAGTCAAAGGCAGTAAGACAGGTAGTAGAGCAGTGTGATAGTCTACTACTTATGGGGATAGTCTACTACTGGGAAGACAGTCATGTGAGCAACAGAGGGTGTTGCGATTTGTTTCGGCAGCGAGATAAATAGATTTGAATTGGGCAGTGCAGTAGCCCCTGTCAGCAGACAGTTCCAGTGTTTTAGTAGTAGTAGTCCTACGGGAGGAGCCACAGGTATCCAGCTATTAGTGTTTAGTGGTAGTTTTGTGGTGATAGCCATTCTTGGTTGTAGTAATGAGGCATAGTGAAGGATTTGGAGTCCTTGTTAAGTCATTTGCAGTTCAACCGTCATCGGAAAGGTAGTCTTGTGAACAGTCATCGTCAAGCCTGCAGTAAACGTCTGCACCAGTATGTTGAGAGGTGACTGGCAACAGTATCAAGCATTGGCGACTAGTTGTGTCAGCAGCCACTTTTCCCGCATGTTGTGAGAAGACATCAAGGCGAGAAGGGTGCAGTGAAGTCAGCCGACTGGCACTAAGGATATGCTTAGTTTTGTAAAGTTTCCCTCCCTATTTCCCTTGAATTAATTGTTAATTCAATGGAAAATCCTCGAATTGTTCCAAGGAACAATTTAGAAATAGTGCACATATATGTACTGAAGTGATTTTTTCACTTGATTATTTTATATATGATTATTGTTGGTCGATTCCTGAGAGCATGGGATAGTAATATCAATTTATTTTTTATTTCCAAGTATTTTGCCAAGTGAAGGGAGCCTCGTTAACTTTGATTTAGAGCTTTTGCTTTTCATTTATTTATGAATTAGTCTAAGAATTTGAATTCTAAGAGTCAGAGGTAGCCTAGCGAGCCAACTGGGCATTTAAATTAAATTGTGAGAAGAGGCTGTTTGTGTAACTTGTAGCCTTTTTCATTTAATTATACTGTATTATTTTGTATAAACATTGTGTTTGTGTACCTCCTTATTCTGTTAATTATTAATTGACACTGCAGAGGCTGAGTTACAAATTATTATGGTCACCATGGGGAAAGTTGTGAGGGAAAGACTAGGCTTAAGCACATTTTGCAGACACAGAGATAGTGGACATCATTCTGGGATTGTGTGTCAATTCTTGACATCAGATTATACCTATAAGAAGTAAGGGGTATCCTTGCCTCCCATATTTATGCTTCTTGCATGAGGTGTGACAGAAGGCGAGTTGAGCAGATTATATGATGTGCACTGGGTATGTGAGCTCAATAACCTAAAGAAGAGTTATAGCTGGCCTGTGAGGAAGAAGATGCCTGTGAAGGTGAGAAGCTGACCGAGTGTGAAGCATCTGGTTGTAGAGGTCCATCAGCTGAGTTCCACATTCTGTCCTACCACCCCTTCGGGATCCTGGGGGCAGGTTCTCCAGGGAGCTGCTGGGGTCCATGTTCCTGACATTGGTAATCAGGGGAAATGTGCAAAAGTGGTCAAAGTTCTTGATCCCATTCAGGCTTGTGTTGGCCCTGGGAACACAAGGTCTTTCTTGTAAACATATGTATCTTCTCAATATTTCTTACGTAATAGGTTCAATCAATAAAAGAATGAATTTTGGAGAGTTAATTTTTCAATTACCCTCAACAGTGAAGAGAAACGTATGAAATATTGAGAAGATTCGTGTTAGAATTATTAATCTGACCCATATTCAACAACAAATGTATGTACAGTATATATATATATATATATATATATATATATATATATATATATATATATATATATATATATATATATATATATATATATATATATATATATATATACATATATATATATATAATATATATATATATGTATATATATATATGTATATATATATATATATATATATATATATATATATATATATATACATACATACATACATACATACATACATACATACATACATACATACATACATATATATATATATATATATATATATATATACAGAGCACCACTTGGTTCCCGAACTTTAGTTATCCGAAACTTCCAGTTTCCCGATTGGGGTTGGGGAGTCACGTTACACGAACTAAGTTCGGGTAGAAAGTAGTTCGCCAAGCTTCACGCCGGCCGGGGTTGGGGTTATCCTACACGAACCAAGTTCGGGTAAGGAAGCGGTCAGCCAAGCGTCGTGCTGGCCCGTGGTGGTGGGTGAGTGGGTGGGAGATGGTTTAGTTTGCTCACTGACTGTGTCGGGCGCCGCCTGCTACCCTATGACGTCACAGACTCACGGCCTATTGTTCCCATTGTTTGAATTTGTCACGAGACTGGAGTGTTCATTCCGTGACTTTGTTTTACATATCAGCACAATCAAGAAACATCCGTGCACCATGTCGACTCCAAATACACACATTGTGTCAGTGAAAGCTTCTACAAGCGGGTTACATAAAAGAAAGAGGTCAGTGATGACATTTGAGAAGAAAGTTGAAATAATTAAGAAGGTGGAGAGTGGTGTCCCGAGAAGTGTCGTGTGCGCTGAATATGGCATTAGTAAAAGTACTGTTTTTGATCTGCTTAAGGCTAAATCTATCATTTTTTACTATTTCTCTAGAAGTGAAAGTTATAAAGCAATATGAAATAGAAATGTAGTAAGTAAAGCAAAGGTGGAGAGTGTTGATAACGCAGTGTGGGAGTGGTACAAACAGAGACGTGAGGTGACGAAGACGCCAGTGGCAGGCTGGCTGCTCGTGGAAAAGGCGCGTGAATTTCACCAAGCAATGAAAATTACTCAAAAGTGTGTATACAGTGATGGATGGCTCATTAGTTTTAAAACCCGTCATGGCATTAGGTTCATTAAAGTGCATGGTGAAAGACAATCTGCTGATATTGTTGGTGCTGATGAGTATGTAAGTAAATTTGCGGAGATGGTGC